CTTTAATACATCAACAGCCAGTGGAGATTTCTCCCATCCACATTGTTTAGCATGCATGTGGGTATCAAGCGCTTTTTACAATAACACCAATCGTGTATGACCAGCTTTAGAAGGTCAGTCAAATTTTTTTTTTATTTTGCTGTGGGTCCCTGTGACAGAACACGAAGTCAGGAAACTTCAACACTGATACAGACAGCAAAAGAAACCTGGTATAAATTCCAACCCTTCCAGTACTTTCACTGCATTCAGAGCCTGTTGGAGAGGCTTTTCCTCACTTCCTGTTAGAACAGGAAGTGAAGAGAAATCTCTCCGAAAAGGAACAAAGGAATAAAAACATGAGGGAGATTCTAATCCTTTCTCACGCTATTCAAAACATAAAAAAAAAAAGTTTTGGCGGGAGTTCTGTCATAAACTGTGTGGACATCTACATAACACAGACTGTTGGTGGGACCTGCAGACAGTTTGGGGATACATGGCTGTATAGCATTACTGGACAAGTTATTTTGTGTTTCAGGGCTTGTTCACACGATGTCCGGATTCTGTCCGGACCAGAACCGTGCGCTCCAGCACCCAAATGTCTCCCTATGTGTTTTATGGGCTACAGTTCTCACCAGCGCAGTCCGTCCGGAAACACACGAACGCGTCAAAAACGCACCGAAAACGCACAGCACTGAAGTTAACAGCTGACAGCCCCACTCCACAAAAAAAAAAGGAAATGGAACGCGCACGGAACACGGTAAAAACGCGCTGCACGCATAGCAGTGTGTCTGCAGATCTGCACAAGATCTGGACCAGAAAATGGTGTGAACAAGCCCTTAAGATTTCAACAACTGTATCAACCTTATTTTAAATGTCTTCATCTCTAAGTAATACAGGTTTTCCAATGGATGTCGCTAAAGTTCTCTTTACATTGTATTAAATATTTAGCAGCTCCTTCTAATATCCAGGAAACCTCGTTTTACAAATCTCAAAAACAAGAAAAGTTTAAATAGAATAAAAAAAGTTAATTATTTTGGTCCCATAACCCTGCTTATATAATTGTGGAAATTTCAGAAGAAGGTGCGCCGAGAGGAAACACAAAGACCACCAGAGGATGATAAAGCTTTACCACACAGAAAGGATTCCCGCTTGCAAGTGTTAGTGGAACACTTGGGGACTTTTCAAAAACTTCCTTGATGTCTTACTACATTGAAATGCAATTTTTTTTCAATCCACTTTAGGGAGGAGGGGAAAAAAAAGGAATTGCAAAGCTTTTTAACGCATTTTCTGCAAATCCCAGTAGTCAGCAGTTAATTCTTTACCACTGAAAATCACTGGAATAGCAGGGGACAGCTAATTGACCATTTTCTATTTAACACAAAACATAATAGAGGAACATCTGGAGATTAAAAGAAGGTCCTATTGAAAGCTCTGAATGCTCAAGGCTGGACTTCACAGCAATGGAAGCCACACAATACACTTTTTTTTCTATTGAAGATCTGTGAAAATCTGCAAATATAATAAATGTTCTTCTAAATTAAAAATTACCGACCTTGGTTTCAAGACTGACCCTACCCTTTCATGAAAATGCACAATCAGGTCAAGACACGAAAATTGTCAACTTTGTAAAAAACATTTTCTCTTCATTCTGGCTTTTCAAGCATCATTTTAGAAATGGTCACATTCTACTGGTTGTCTGGTGGGGCTGTAGAGAATCAAGTTCTGCTGGTTGTCGTGATGGAATTGTAGAGAATCAAATTCTGATGGTTGTCGTGGAGGAACTGTAGACATCTGAAATGTTTATACAATAGCAAACCAGGCTGGACAAGTCCAGGCTTCCACAGAGATGAAAAAGTCCTTTGGGGACTAGAGTACTAGTACTAAAGCCCATAAGCTTTGCTACACGATTTCAGAAATCGGGACCGGGTCTCCTTTGTACTTTACATGTGACTAATAGTCAATTTGCTGTCACATGAACTAGGGCAGCCAGGTCCTCGTCTACCGGCAGTGTGCACTAGTCACCGGTCAGACCAGTAGGTCTGAGTGGGAGAGCTTTGTTAATAAAAGGTACTCACTATACCTGCCCATTGAAATACACAGTAATAAGATTACTTACATTATCCTGAACAAATGCAAACACATTTAAAAGACATCTATACATTTGAAGGCACTTTTAATTGTGTCTGAAAGCAAAACCTTTTTTGCAGTTTTGGATCGAGTTGGTTAGCGCTAGATACTGTTGTATTGCTGTGTTCTCACAGAGGATAAAACACAATTCGTCTTGGTGACCACGGTCAATAAAAAATGTAAGTGAGGGGAAAAAAAGTTCACACTGGAACAGGACTAAAAAGGGTAAATCTTCTAAATGGGGAAACTTGTTGCAAAGATACATTTTTGAGACACAATTTGAGCCTTTGGTCAGTCGATCGGGTCCACCTGTCAGCTTTTCAGGTTGGCTCGATTAGATGCCCAATGCTAGTCTATGGGCAACTGGGTCTAAATGGATGGGCGTCCGTTTACACCTGGCTGGCCTCGACTCCGGCAGGTCCGTAAAAACAACCGGACCTGATAGTGCCAGATCGGGGGAAATCTGATGTAAACGGACACATGTCTGACTACCCATAGACCGACATGGGGTCCACCCCTTTAACTCTTTCGTCCATCGCAAGATGGAGGAAAAAAAACTGCACGGACACGGATGTGACAGTGGTGACATCTAGGGCTGCAACAACTAATCGACATAATCGATTATAATCGATTATTGAAAAAGTTGTCAACTTTTTCAATAATCGAATAATCGGCTTCCTGATCAGTTGGCCCTGTTCACAGCTCCACACGCTGTGCACCGCACCTCCTCCCCACCTCGCGCTCGCCGCTGCCAGACCCGCTCGCATCCACGCTCCAATATCACTGGAGCCATTTTTTAAACTTTATTTTATAGTTTATCCGATTAACCGATTAATCGAACTTAATAATCGGCTAACTAATCGATTTTGAAAATAATCGTTAGCTGCAGCTCTAGTGACATCTGATCCATACTGCTCCAATCAGGAAGGATTTGTGCATGGGTCCCTTCCTGATCAGCCTGTGTGAAAAGGGCCCTACTCTCTGTTAAGAGATATCATCTTGCTTCCTGTTGCATCTACAGGAAAGGAAGTGAAGGAAAATCTCACCAATAAAACTTAAATGACAAAAAATGGTTTTATCGGTTCCTGACTTACCTAAAACAAAAATAAATGTTTTGGCTTTGGGTGCAATTTAAACGTTTACACATCGACTTGGAGAGTCTAAAATCCCGCGGAAAAAGAGAATCTTTCGTTTTAAACAAGAGAATCTGGTGAGAACTTCAGGTCTTCCGAACATGGCAATTGGCCAGCATCAATCTCAGATCTACAAGCTATATCAACAATTTTATTGATGGAGCAGCGTGCCAAGTCACCTCAACCGTATTTGTCAAGTCTTTTTTTTTCCACTTGAAAGTAAACACAGGTGAAACTCCAAGGGTTTAATGAAGCATGTAGATCTTTACAAAACATTTTTCACTGGATCCTGGGCGCGGATAGTGAGAAGCTTTCAGTTAGGGAGGCGCACACAATGAATAAAAGTACCACTGAACACCAGATTTGCATTTGTAAGAAGTAACCATACATTACTGTGACAGATGTGTTTTTTTAAAATCTGCTTGAAGTTTATCTTTAGAGCAAAATTCAGACCACGTGGATGGTTTATAAAGGACTGATATGGTCGGTTTGATGACCCTTTTCCCTAGGGTTTTTTTTTTTTTTTTATTCTCTGTAGTATTTTTTTTCCTTTGAAAGTGGACCTTTCAACAACTTTTAAAGTCTGCATGGATAAACTCCTGACACGTACAATACATAGCAATAGAATCGTTTTTCAAAAAGCTCCTTTTTTGATCATTAAAAAGAAAAAAAAAAAAAGTCCTTCACTGGTTACTTCTCCCTCGTCTTAAAAATGACAACAAAGGCATCTTTAGAAATGTTTAGTAATAGCAATCTAGAAGCAGATATTTTGTAAATAATTGCAGGCTTCTTATTCTTTGCATAACTTATTTTACTTTTCCTCCCTATTCTTCCGACAGAGGCCATTTTCACTAGGGGCAGATGAGGGCTAGTTCACACCAGATGCAGTCCGTTCAGTTTGGCAGCTGCATCACAATGCTTTCCTATGTGATTTTTGGTGCTCTGTTCACACCAGTGCAGTCTGTCCTGATGCTGTAAGAAAAAAAAAAAATTCTTGCCCTATTTTAGTTGCATCGGATCGCAACAGAATGCATCAAAAATGCATGCAATCGCACCTGAATCGCATTTGAAGCACACACAAGAAACTGTCAATCGCAGCAAAACGCATTGCACAGCAGCTGCGCAGACGCACGCAGTTCTGGAGTGAACTAGCCCTGAATCCATCTCCTTTTACTTCCAGGAACATGTGACAGCGTACATCTGAGGGGTAAAATGCCTCCCCACCCTTAGGTATATTCAGATCTAAAAAATATGCTGCATACTTGGATAATGTTGGGGCAGTCACTTCTTTTTTCATTTTCCAAAAGCAAGAAAAACCTAACAGAGATCCTAACCCATGGGTAGGCAAACATGGCACTCCAGCTATGGTGGAGCTACACGTCCCGTGAGGCTTTGGAAGACTGACAGCCACATGACTCCCGAGGCCAAAGCATGATGGAATTTGTATTTTCACCACAGCTGGAATACCAAGGTTGTCTATCCCTGTCCTAATCCTTCCCTGCCTCACCAAACCTTAGAAGGTAGTCTTCATCTCCCTAGACCTCTACAATTGTAATTCACCTGTATCTGCCACCTTTTCCCTTAAGAATGCATGCATAACACGGACGTCATCATGTCACCAAATGAATAAATCTGAACAGAAGAACATTGTTCATATTATAAAACAGCTGGTAGCAACAAATGGTTAATATTGCAAAATAATCACCACAAAAAGAAAGATCAAACAGTTCTATTCAGTGGCTTGATAAAATGACTACTTACAGAGAAAGACTTATAATCTGGGAAGCAGCAGATCCTAAAGATGGGATGGAGGTCAGTTCATTGTACCCCAGTTGCCTAAAAATAAAAAATAACATATTATTATACAGGATTTATATAGCGACAAAAGTTTGCACAGCGCTTTACAAAATAAGGAAGACATTACAATCACAATGCAATTCAAGACAAGATGGTAAGGAGGGCCCTGCCCGTGAGGGCTTACAATCTAAAAGGGAGGGGCAAGTGATGCATAAAGGTGGCCATACACTTTACAACCATCGCAAGATATTAGTCTTGCGATGGTTGTAAAGTACTTAAAAAAACATACGATCTGCCCATCTTGGACAGGCAGATCGTACTTGCGATTATCGCAAGCCCGCCCCCCCGGGGGGTGGGCTTGCGATGACCGCAATGCTGAATGGGCAGTGTGCGCACACCGGCCCGTTCGGCATTTGTCTCCCAAGCATCATTCAAACCAGCCTAAAATCGTACGATTTTCGGCTGGTTTTCTAGCATGCTACTTAGACAAAAGATGTGCGACCCTACAGTAGAAACCGTCGCACGTCTTCATTCACATTGCACGATTCTCGTACGATCGCGGGATTTCCCGCGATTCTCGTACGAGAAACGTGCAGTGTATGGGCACCTTAAGGAAGAGAAAACTCTTATGCAGTACATTTCATGCACCACCTGCTACTTATTTCAAGTAAATAAAAATGGCAGTCATGTCGGTGGAATGGGTTAAAAAACATTTTGTTATGATGAGCCTGTTGCCAATCTGAAAGTTAAAATAAAACACATCCATGTGTAAAAAAAAAAAAGAAAAAAATGAATGTTAATACTTATCTGACCTGCTGTCTGTGACTTTTATACTAGAGATCGGCTTTAAAATATATCTAAAGCCAAAACCATTTTCCCCCCATTTTTGGATAGAGTAGGAACATTGAAATATTTCCACTTGATTCCTGTTCTGGTGACAGCTCAAACTTTTGGAATTTCCCAAACTTTCAGTCGCGGTGACCATAGTCATTAGGACAAATCTCCCCCAGATGGGGGCACAGTCATCTTTAAACTACACTACAAAATTCCCTATTGAGCAGCTCAGGCAAGGTTACGCACATATGCAATGTGTTGCTTTCCTGCAATTTGTCGATCATTTTCTGGCTCACGTATTTTACAAATAAGGATTCACACCTGCGTGTAAGATAACTCTACTGAATACTTTTGTTTTTAGGCTGACTGACAAATGATTATGCATTGACCTTTGCCCTCCAGAACGACTTCCTCATGTTTCCAGACAAATCCGTGCTACACAAGTGGGACCTTCTTTGTAATTAGAGGTCATAGCTGAGGCTTGGGTTACAGCGGTGTCTATGGATGAAATATGGTGGCACTTTGGTTTACAAAAGCAAAGGGCAGCCATATCCAATAAAGAGCTTCACTGTTGTGTTTCCGTAGTGAGTGAGTTCTACACCAATGTAGAACATTTTGTAAAAAAAAAAAAAAAATGCAGCATGGTATGTTATTGTGGCTAGCACAGCCCTTAAATAGAATAGGAGTATAGCATCAGAGGCCATGGAGCAAGGTGCCTATAGGCATGGGTCACCTAATCCAGCAGCTCTGTACAACTGAAAAGCTACCCCCGGCCACAACAGACAAGCCCCTCCCTGAGTCTCCTTAGGGGAAGAAGTTTATCAACCAGGATTCTTCCTGACCAATCCTGTCAGGGTCCGGTGTTGCAGATGTATGTACTTCCACTGCCCTTACCATTGGTACAAGCAACAGCAGAATAAGCACATTTGTAACCCAATCCTTTGCTAAAAAGATAGTTTGAATAATGAATGTCTGTAGCTAGCTTTAGAACTGAAGGGACTGATGTGTTTTTAAAGAGGCTCTACCCCTACAACCTACTTCACATAATTAAACCTGATTTACCCACAACCCAAGTAGTCCACCATACAAAAGCTTGAGGTAAAAGCAGAGTTGTCTGCATTTCACTGAAGCTACAGATCATGTTGCAAGATCCTTTTTTTTTTCTTGACCAGCCCTCCTCAATTTTGAATCGCAGCCATTTTGGGCATATTAATGTTATTTGAGGAAACATGGAAGGTGGTATTTTTGCTCATTTCATTGGTTGCTTGGGACAACCCTGATTTAATTTGCAAAAGCTCCCCACAAGGTCTTTTCCCATAACAGTTTATTAAGAAGAAGGCCTCAAGACCTGTCTCCCGGTATTAGGAAACCTTAAGGCTGCGTTCACACCTGACCGTTTTGTAGCGCGTCCTACGCTCGACGAACGCGCTACAAAACGGTCAAAAAAATAAATAGCATTGTAGTCAATGCCCTCGTTCCCACCTAGGCGTATTTCCGCCCGTCCCTAACGCCCTACAAAACGGCCCACGCCTGAAAGGGACTACTTTGGGACGTTTTGTAGGGCGTTTTCCATTGGGATACAGCCAAGTAGCCTTTGGAATCGTGCGACGGTCGCGCGACTTTTTTACCGCGAATCGCGGTAAAAAAACCCGCGTGACAGACGCGCATATTACAATACGCCTAGGTGTGAATGGGGCCTTACTGGTCCATTTATTTTAGCTTCCCACCAATTCTATCCTTCCTGCTGTTCTCAAAGTGATTTGGAAAACAGAAAAAAACTCTGTGTGTGCGCGCATAACCAGACAAGGTATGGTATCAGAAGTAATTGACAGTTCTTAGGAGTTCCAAATGAATATTGCAAATATGTAAAGCGCTCAATTTATATCTGGCAAAAATGAAAAGGTTCAAATGGGCAGGGCAAACCATAGAACAAACGCTTTTTTTTAAACGGTTTCAACATTTTCAGTTAAAACTGAGGTGTATGATGCATACATTTGCAAATACATAAAAACCACAATGCCATGTCAAAGCATCTATATAATGTGTGGTACCCAACTCTACACTATCTGGGCCCTGAACTTGCAATATACACAGCAGTGAACACATTGAAAGTTCTATTGTTCTGTGGATTCTCTTATCCATGTGCATCAGTCCTTTGGCTAGTTATCAACTGCTCTGAGCCACGGTCATATTTGCATTGTAGGACATGGTACAAACTTGCACCAGAGGTCTTCAGCTGCCATTGAGTGATTTTGGACTTCTAGTGTGTTGCTGTACTTTTCTATAGTTCTGGGAGGAAGGTCAATAAATACGGATATCCTGCACCCAGCACTACACGGAAAGGCTAGTGGGTACCCACCTTTATGCATAGTAGTTGTCTCAAAAACTGGTTCCCTTGCAGTTTAGCAAACATGTATACAAAGAGAGATGCTTTGTATTTTTCACACACAGACCGCTTAAAATCTGAATGGCAAATAGACAGCATTAAAAAAAAACGGAGAAGACTAGGCCTCTTCTTACCAGGAGACATGTCTGTGATCTTAATAGAAAGCTGTTGATCATGCTGACAGGTCCGCTTTAACAAAAAAATATGTATGAAAATGTTCCTTGTGTTTGTCCGATGAGCTATTGTGCTAATTGGCTCAATTTTTTTCTTCGAGTGGCTCCTTGGATGTTGGGTGTTTAGGCCTCGGCCACCCTCATTGACTCCCTTCTCCACAAGCTCCATATTGAAGCAATTACCTGCTCGCTCCACACTGAGGATAGAAGGGGCAGCTCTTGCTGAATGTGCAGCTTTATATTTATACTTTGAAAGAAAGCGATTTTTCCAAGTCACACATTTTGTGGCAAGAGCCAGGGATGAAAGTGCAACATGGAACCAAAGAAAATAGCCAACGCCCACTAGGTAGTGTGGTGGTCTCAGATTTAACGAGGGAAAAGAACAACCCGTGCCTTTGCCATAATGAAGGCCACCACATATTTTGCAGCAAAGGATACTGAAATATTTATAATGAGGTCTAATGAAGGTATACAATCGCTGGAGCATACACCACAAAATTCTTCAACCAAATCTGAGAACTCAAATGCACTCAGCGGGCTCCTACTCTAGTATAGTCTACAATATTTATACTTCATTCTTATTACAGGTGGCAATACAATGGGGAATTAGTTCCATTCAAGAAAAACCAACAACTACCACGTTCTAGGTACACAAACAGTCACTAGCAGCAACCAGAATGGAATTATTGTATAAACTAATTGCAGTGTTTGCCAGAGAATTGCCGTATGCAAACGATCAAAAGACTTTGATTGCAACCAGTTATTTAGCTTTACAGTTTCATTATAAAGTAGAAGGTGGGCGATACTGTTCAAATCACAAATCAGTAACGACAACTGTTCCCCTGAAACAAGTTGTATAAAACAAACCAAAAAAATAAAATCCCAAAATCTGAAGACCCCAGACCTCACTCTCTGCAGCATTCTCCTGGGAGTCCAGAGTGGCAGGGTGGGCCCTTGATTTCCTGGGATTACAGGAAGTGGGTTGAATGATGGTGGCCAGCCATCAACCTGAAGAAAAGCAGCACTGCATCGGTATATCTGCAGGGGACAGCACCGGAGATCAGGTGAGTTTAACAGACAGAGGGTCATGGGATCCACTCCTTGATTTAATGCCCAAACTGGATTTGGGCTTTAAAAGAGAACCATGGGGTAAGCGTTTTTCCACATAGTCCTCTTAAGGGTCAAGGGAGGACATATACTAACCTCCTCCCGTGACCCAAAGCTCAGTATATCGCGAGCTACAGCTTGCAGAATTCTGAGGCCGTCGCAGCCGGGGCGGATCCCGACAATGCTGTCAAGATCCGTGTGCGTGAATGACAGCTGGCTCTGCCTATCTAGAGGCAGAACCAGCTGTGCCCGCCCCCTCCCCTCTCCGTTCCTCCAGTCAGTGCTGGAGGATCGGAGAGGGGAATCCTCCGGAGAGGGGGAGCAGTGACTGAGAGTCACCGTTCTCTGCAGGTAGATGATCGAGAAGTGAACGAGCGACGGTATGCGTTCGCTCACTTCCCGACCTATTGAGCCGACGTGAGAGTTTCATTGTCACATGTCGGCTAGAACTATGAGGATGAGTGACACTCACTCACCTCATAGTTCTCCTTTAAGGATTGGCACACACTTCTATGTAGGCTAACTAGGAGAAAAGGGGG